GGACAAAACTCGCATTGTTAGCTCCTGTCTATACAAGAAAGACCGTGAATTCTTAGAAGCCACCAACTCCGACGACTCGTGCCTCAACAGGCACGTCGAATTGGACGCGATGTACATCAACTTCAGAGAAGCACGGAAGAGAGGGCAGCCTACCCGGAATGGAGGAAGCCAAAGCCAACCACCACTGACCGCACAATTAGATGCAATCGATAATTAGTCCCCAACCGACCGCATAATTACATGCGGGTGACAAATATTTTCTTCCCCACTAACCACATAATTACATGCGGGTGATAATTACCAACATTCACCTCGACCCACTATATTAGCCCCTATTAGCCATCATTGTGGATTAACTGTTTCGTATGATTCCAATCCGTGTGATGACGACCTGGTGAGCCAGTGTCGAAAATTCACTCAATAAACAACATTTTCCCAAAGAAACTTCTTCTACCGGATCTTTTTTTATTTCGACTACTACAACGCCCGTTTGACTCCATTTACGGCATCCAACGTGTTCTACTTGCTCAAAAGAGATTGCAGTTATAGGTAGAATCTTTATTTCGCTGAGACATATTCAAGGATGAAGATAAAAGTACTATTCGTACTCGATTGACATGATTGGAAGAGTCTGTAGAATTGACCCCATGATTTAGATAGAGTAGGCTGCAAAGTATTTCAGAACGAGAGGCAGTAGCAAATCCTCCGGTTTCAGATACAATAAACTTTCTCTGCTGAAAAAGCGGACCAAAATATACAGTACATTTTCAGCAAGGACTTCGTCAATCCGCTGATCTATAAAATTATTATGCAATATTCTTTCACTTGGGCTACCTCGGTATAGCCACGATCTGTGTCAATGATGATGATGATGAGAACTTTATTTTGACGGTAATATCAAACTTTCAGCATATTCTAGGAGTTCTGCATTCAACTATGACATAAAAGAATAAATATGTGTGAAGTTAGCAATTTTCATTGATAAGGGTTTTGTAATTATTACGCCAAGCCCCGACCGTTAGTAAGAAATGGAGATAAACAAGTATGTTTCCCTTAGGCATATCAGCACCTCTCTAAAAGGCTCGATGTTCCGTTCGACGACTACAACGACCGTTTGACTGAAGATAGTGCATCCAACGAGTTCTCATTGGCCAAACGAGATTGCACCTACAGATAAAATCTTCATTTCACTGAGTCATATTTAAGACTAAAGGCAACACTATTAGGCGCAAAAGATTGACTAATTAGCCAAGTCTACAAAACGTATGTTAAGTTTGAGAGCAATTGGAGCAACTACTCAGATTTCTGATAAACTGAATCTGCTCAGCTGAAAAAAGAGGGCAGCAGAAAATATCCCTAGAATGCTTAATAACAGAAATGTCACGGTAGACTTCTTAAGAGGCGTCTGCTCCTGCTGCCAGGAATAGCCGGTTCACATAAAAGGCACTCAGGCGTTTGCTGAATACTGCTGAACATTCGCTGGTGGCGTGATCTGATCCCTGCGTAGCCGTCTTTGATAAGGTCAGTTGAGATTTTTGACAGATACATCTAGCGCAGAGGCAACATCACTCTCAACTGCACCAAAAGCAACGCAGGTCAATGAACTAGTATTGGTACAAGAAAAGATGAAAGCTTTAAACTATATCGGCAAACGCGAAGCCCAGACGATTTTTCAACGAGTGCCCCTTTATTTTGGCTGCTATGTGTGCAGAATTAAATTAAATTCAAGATTGTTTTTGACGGTTTTAGAAATTATGCATATGCGCTATGAAACGTTTAGTCAGACAAGCAACGTAATTGTCGTGACTAGCTCGCGTCGAACCGAACTTTGCCAAAGCTCACTGCCGCTATACTCGATTTCTGGGAACAGCCAAACACAGAGGCCGCAAAGCTGGCCCCTGGCGCGGCAGCGAACAACACATCTGCGCGCGTAAGCCGACGCAGTCTGTCTGGCCAAAAAGCTTATAAGGCCGACACAGACAAGGATAAATGAAAGAAGTTGTAAAACATATCGGCAAACCGTTTCGCCGTCTGATTCAATTTCGAGTCCTATCAGTTGTTTTAGCAATTGAAAAACCTTAATCAACGTATGTTTATATTCCTTCGGACTTCTGAGCACAACGTAAAGCGTTCGAGCCCGCGGTTGTCAATACTTGTTAGGAAATAATGAAGAACGGCTAATGAGTAATAACTGACCGCTGGCGGGGCCCGACGGTGACACCAAAGACAGATCGGGCGGAAGGCGTTTCACCAGCGATCATAAAATCATTTTTTATCGGATCGGATGCTAAATGTAAAAACCGTTAAAATGTAATTGTTTATCAATACGTTCAGTGATTAAAGGTTGCACTGGCCAATTTCCATCTTCAAATCGTTCGGGTTGGGGGGAGGATTCCGGGGACTTGTCTGCAGTCCATGATGAAGTCGTGTTAATAAGCAGAAATAGAATCAGTGTATTACCGACAAACACAGGGAGCATCCATAGGGGCCTTTTCTGCCTCATTAGGCGTCATCAGGAGGTGATACCCGAATTACAGTGTAATAGCGGAAGTAACCGCCACATTCGAGCTTTAAACTCGCGTCTCTCTGTCAGAGGCGAACGCTCTAACAATTGAGCCACGGGTCTGCCATGTTGTCAGTCTGTGATCGGGATTATATAGTAGTGTGTAACTGTAATGGATTTGGAGTATCACAAGCAGATGATGCCGAATAAGACAGCAAAAGCCTTTGTGGATATTCCCTGTCTTTAATGGTAGTACATAGTTACTAAAACTTAGCTATTAAAATAACTATTTTGCCTTGGTACTTGGTACTTATGGTACCAAGATCTCACAAACAAAGCATCAACCAGGGTGGGCATACACTGAAACTGATCGGTGTTCAGTTACCCACTACTATTTAGTTCTAACCACAAACCGACAGCACGGTGGACCTGTGGCTCAATGGTTAGAGCGTTCGCCTCTGGCCGGAGAGCGAGAGTTCGAAACTCGGATGTGGCGGCAATTTCTGCTGTTACACTGAAGTTGGGGCATCACCGCATGGTGACGCCTACTGAGGCAGAAAAGGCCTGTGTGGATGTCCCCTATGTTTGTCCGTAATACATTGTTATTAAAACTTAACCAATAACATAGCTATTTTGCCTTGAACGCATATGCTTGGGTACCAAGATCTCGCAAACAAGGCATCAACCAGGTTAGTTACATCCTGAAACAGATCGGTGTAGAGTTACCCAATACTAGAAAAGGAATCTTTGAAATCTAAATGGGGGAAATATATTCAAAGCTACGTACTAAAGAGATTTGGATTGCATTGTCTAACAGTTAACGATACTGACCCTAGAATTCATCAGTCAAGGAGCTCTGCCTTAATCGCAAAGTAACTGCTAAAATTTGTGACGTAAATAAGATTACATATAGTCAAAGCAGTAAAGTTAGAAAAAGGGCATTTCTGATCAACGTGCTAACAAGCACCATTAAGTCTCTACTCAAATTAGACCCAAAAGCCAATAGGCATGTCAAACTATCTAATAAACTACCAACTCTTAAATCTACCTGATAAACAATACTAATTTGGCAAACAACCACCCCCAACTAATAACCTCAAAGATTAACCGCTAATCTAACCGATATTAACCACCTCTATGATAACGCGGAAATTAAATTTCATATCGATCAATGCGCAGGACATGTATAGGAGGGTACAAGTCTACAATTAAGACATACAAATATCAGCAAGTTGTTCAGGATATCTTCCGGCTGCCTTTTACCTCGGGTTTGTGTGTTTTAGCAAATCCAAGTTTTCCCATAGTTATGTTAAACTACCGCGTACGGCTAACTGTGTTCTATAAGGCTCTATGGTCACACATGCGCAACTTCAAGTATGACGAAACACACCTTAGCGCATATTTACAAGTTTTAAAGCAGTACAAAAGGATTTCAACTAGGCAAACAACCATCTCCAACTAATTAAATTGACAACTCTCTGCTAATCCAAAAGATCTCATCCAACTCTAGCGTGAACCGCAAACGAAATGTCGATAAACTTACCTCCCAGAAAGTGTTTAAATAATCTACGTATCTTGCAACAATAATGCGCGCCATAAATAAAGAAAGAAACTGCAACGATATTTTATCCTTTATGATTCATTTTTTACTGTCATATCTTCCTTTTCTTTCTTAGCCAGATCAAACGCCTATACCCTGACTGACCGGACCGACCCAGTCCCAGAGGATTAATCTTTTGTTGTACCGCGGAACTAAGCCCGCCACGCTTGAAACAGCCGTGATTGAATAAACGTGCTTATAGCGAGTCTCGTCTTCTGTCGTACCTTGGCTCACGTTTGTTCCGATCTTCTGTCTCTGGCTGCTACGTCTAACTATCCGTCTGCTTTATTCAGATCCATTCTTCTCGCACGTCGACCTACGCAACAAAACTTGCTTCGTTACATTTATTGAAACGGCGGGCATTCGAATCCGGGGTGACTCAGGAAAGGGGCTGTTTTGAGCTGGTTGATCAAAGTGTGTATTTTTGTGCCTCTTCAGGTGAGGAAGCCGCAGAATCAACACCGGAAGTGAAGATTGTGTCCGAGAAGTCTGCGGATTGAAGAATCCTCCCCCGCCGAACCATTTATTCTCTACCACCCCTTGTTGACGTTTGCCACTTTTGTTCTACGCTCGTTTCCTACTTGTTTTCCCCTTTTCTCATTCTATTTATAATAAACTCTGGTTCCCTCCTTCACTTCTATCGTCTTACGTATGTCTGGAAGCGAAGTGGAAAGAATGGCTGAACCAGTTGATGAGATTACCCCCAGTGAACTTACAGCTATCAACCAAGGACCTGATTTGAGGCCGCAAGAATCTCACCCTGTTGAGAGTCACAAGCAGGAATCCGGCAAGACTGCTACTGCGGTGGCAGCGCACCGATCCGCCCCACAGCCCGCTTCGCATTCCTCTTCTAGTACCCTGGTGACTATTCACACTTTCGACGGAAGCAAACCTTTTATGGTTTGGCTGCGGCTTACCAAGTTCTACCTCAAGCGGACTGATGAAGCAGACAAATCCCGTTTCCTACTTCTGGGCCTCTCCCCAGATTACTTGGCGAAAGCGCTTGAGGAAAACCTCTCAGATGAGACCCCTTTCGAGTCCCTTTGTTACCGTTTAGCTAACCTTTTCTCTAACACCCCTACCTTGCGCGAAGCTCTTCATCGGCTCAATTCCCGGAAACTGCGGCCTGATGAATCTATCACCAGCCTTGTCAACGACACTGAACGCCTTATGGCGGTGGCCTTCCCCACACTCAATGAAGACGACACAGACGCCCTCGTGTTACATTATTTCACAGAGGCACTCCCTGATCCCGAATTACGACGGCAGACGCTATTAGTCTCACGGAGCGCAGCCTCCCTGCTCAGCCCGCCGGCCCAACCCCAACGCCATGACTTACCACAGCCCCTTCCTCCGATCATCGTCCTTTTTTACCACAGCCGACCATCTGGTCGCCGGCCCTCCTCCAACGCCAACCGTTTTTCGGGCCCCCGGCGTTTCCCACGTTATCAAAACAACTTCTTTCCCCGAGGACCCCGCTACCCTCCCCACGACAACCAACATTCCTGCGCCTGCGATCGCGCGTCAGGTACGCTGTCCGTTACATCATGCACTGTATTTCCTACGAAAGTTTGCCCATTTTATACTACCGTCACGATTAACCACCACCGAGTACGGGCACTTATTGACACGGGTGCCACAGTCTCCTTAATCAGTAACCACTTGATAGTGTCATTTCGCCTCGACCAGTCAAAGTCCGTTTGCCCTCGTACACGTCTTAGGTCAGCTGACGGCTCAGCAATGAGATATCTCGGTTCAGTGTCCGTCGATGTTGTTCTACCCCACGCTACTGTCACACATACCTTTTTAATTTTACCACATTCTACTTGGGACGTGATCTTAGGGATCGAATTCCTAGCGAATCACGGCTGCCTTATAGACGTAAGTAATCGCACCGTACAATTCACTCACCCCACAGAGAAACCCAGTCAGAACGCAGATTTTGACGACGAAGCTATCTGCGCAGCAATCGACGAGTATGTCAAAATTCCCCCTACTCGTATCGACGACATTATACCACAATCGTCCCTTGATGACCCAAACCACACCGCGTTGCGCCACTTGCTTTTGAGTTTTCAAGATATTTTCGCTTGGGACGATTATTCCCTCGTTCGAACGAATATCATTCGCCATACCATTGATACCGGCAATGCGAAACCCGTGTGGCAGCCTCCCCGTCAGATCCCCGCTCATTATCAGGATGAGGTCCGCCAGATGTTGACAACTATGCTTAAAAATAAAGTCATCCGACCCTCCCATTCTCCTTGGGCTTCCCCCGTTACCTTGGTACCTAAGAAAGATGGCAAGTTACGGTTCTGCATTGACTATAGGCG